TTTCTCACAAGTAGATAAAAGCCTAATATGTCTACAATTACACTAGAAAAGAATATTTAAACTATAAACACTCCTCTACAACACATCCAGGCGAAAACAACTTTTTATTGATTTTCATGCCATCAGAAGCCTTGGGCAGCATTTAGAACAACAATAAAAATCACCCGACAATTTATTGAGAGTTATTATAATAATATATGATATAATTATAACCAAAATGCTAACAAAGAAAATATGTTTCGGATTCAGAAATGAAGAATGAAGAATAATTCTTTCGATATAGCTCATGTAGCTACTACTTGAGGAGGGAGCCCTTAACTGACAATGAACAAATTCATATTTTTAACAGTTTCACTTTCAATGAGCTTAAAAGGTTTCTCTAAGCTCATTTAAAAAATAGGAAGTTCTAAATTACAAAAATAAATCCATCTCTCCATCCAATCTCTCAATTAAAGAAAGCAACCCGTGTGAAATTAAACTACTTGCACGCGGCTTGTATTTCCAATAAAAAGTTTGGTGTCATTATTCACTCATTATGTAATATAGTATTTCATAAACCAAAATATTTTTTGAATAAAAGTTTGATATTGACTTAAAATGTACAATAAACTTTCCGAAAATATCACAAAAGAGCGCAACATCCATTGCAATCTGTTCAGAACATCAAAGGATTTTTCGTTCTTTAACAAAAAGAGGAAGTAGTCAAGCATCAAATTAAAAGTGCACTCAGGCAGGAACTGGTTAGAAATTCAGAGGGTGCCTAATGCTTTTTTCTTAGTTTCGCTTAATACTAAATTGTATAAAATATACAGCGGATAATACTTCAATATTTTATTCCACTTCACATTGGCATTAATGTACATTCGTCCTCCATTCTTCTTAGAGAAGATTTTTTCAATATTGTCATTGAAATCTAATTTTCAAAGTATCATCTCTTATAAGTCAAAAAACCTTATTCGTCAAAATAAATTAATTTACTTCATTTCAGTCAGTTCCGAAACCTCTAAACAAACAATCAAATTAAGACTAATGATTTATAATCATTTTTGTCCTACAGCAAAACACCCACACAAATGCATGAACTAACTGCAAACAAAAGAACTCCAATTTCTAAACACAACACACAAAAGAGACATCAAAACTGTTAGAAAAGACGAGACAGGAAGCAAGCGACTGGAAAATAAGAGTTTCAAGTTTTTCATGGATGTCATTTTCTGGAGTATCACGTCTGGACGATCGTAGGAAGATATTCGTTTCGGTGACGGCGAATTTGGTCTTTACGAAAAATCGGAAACGAAAAATTAAGGAAAAATGTGAACCTATTTTAAGGGTGCTTGATTTTTATTTGATGAAGCTTGAGAGGTGTTTCCTTTATAAGGAGCCAATATTTTATTGGAATTCATGATAAATTTATGCTGATCGGATAATGATGGTTTAGATTACTTTATGGAAGAAAATCCCCAAAACTCCAACGCTTTGACGTTAATGAAATGGATAATTTATGAAATGCTATTATCGGATTTACATATTTCAAAATTCGCGCATTCGTCTGTATGGCCCGTCCTTAATACATCTGGCCGCTTTTTATCTTAATGTATCAAATTCAATTTTTACTATATTTAATTAGTATATTAGCTTGACTTGGATAGCTTTTATCGGGACTCCAGTGAACCCTGTCAGGCCTTTGCTGATTGTATTTGCCTCCACGAATAGAAGTTCGTAGTTTGTAGTCACGCAATGATAAATAATAAATTTCATAAATGGAGCGAGGTGTTCGATAGCTAATTGAGATCGACCAAGTATAATTTAATAAAAATATCTGAACATAGGCAGACAATCACGATAAATCCAACTTAATAAAATATCTTAATATAGAAAAAATGACTGATACCCCAAATACCTCCAGAACGTGGTTGCAAATTGCAGAACAAACTTTTTATTCAACCCTGTTGCACAGAAATAATAAATATGTGCATTCGCTGGAGTAAAACACCAAAAATGTACATAGCATAAGAACAGTTCAAGTTGAAACATCTGCAGTAAATTAAAAACATTTTGGAAGGAAATCAAAGCCAGGATTAAGACGCTCAAAAAAGGAAGAGAAGGAGATTAAAATGCAAATGCAAGTAATTAGTTCGGTTTAATAAAACATCAAGGCAACAAGGATTCTAAAAACAAAAAGCCCAAATTTCAGGATAAATCAAAAAACGATAATAAGCTTTTTTAAAAATCAAACATATTGAAACTCTTTCTAGGTTTTTAGCAAAACGTCAAAAAATAGGTTCAAATGGTCAGGAATATCAAAATCTGCAAAAATGCTTCAAAACTATCTCTATGGATCAGAGTTAATCATCAAAGATGCCACGTATTTTGAGCTCTAATCTATGGATCAGAGGTATGGACTTGAAAACATTTTGAAATGGACAAACTTGTAGCGTTCGCAAGATGGTGTTGTTGGGGTATATTAATAATATATTATGGACTAAAAGAGTTACAAATGTGGAACTGCGTCGAAGAATTCAAGCGGATGAGAAAGTGATTAACGCTGTAAAAATGAGAAAACTGGGATATTTTGGACATGTAATAAGAGAAGGAAGAACAACATATTGACTAAAAAACTTGAGAGGCTGGTTTGAACTAACATCATCATAATTTTTCAGAGCAGCTGTTAATTGAATGATAATTACCTTGATGATAATTACCTCTGACAATAACACAATATTTTCATAATTCGAGTATTTTAAAGGCACAATAAAGGCGCATTAAGATCTGACTGTAACATTTTAGCTTTGTCAAGGCGTTTAAAAAAATGTATTTAGGTTCCATATATCATGCTATGTTGCTTTACAAGCGGTAAAGGTTTAGGCTCTTTTGGTTAAGACAATTTTTGTTTATCAACATAATGCAGAACTATTAGGTCGAGCCTGCAAAATTGATTTAATGCATTTTAATTTCTTCGGAACATCCCATAGCAAAACCATTTAAACAATTTATAATTTACCCCTGCATTGTCAGCGCGAGAAATAGTAAAAAATTAAAAAAATCTCTTAAATAATTAATCTCTGCATTAAAATGCAAATCATGTAATTTCATGAAGTTAGTAGAAACAACATATAAATAGTCTTCAAATAAATTTGCTAATTAGCACTCAAACCTATTCTCGTGTATGTTAAATATTAGGTTAACCAGTTGGCCAATATTTACACTCGTTTAATACTAAAGGCTATTAAGTCTAAACAATGATAGAATATAATACATGTAAGAGCTATGCAAGTTCTTAACTAGTCTCAACATCTCAAGAACTCCTTAAGCGGCTTTTAAAACGTAAACACATTGTTGAATTTCAATTTCAATTCCTACAGTCCCACTTTCAACATGTAAAATATGAAGATAATGTTGATTGTAATTAGGAACAAATATATCAAAAATCTTATAAAAAGAATGGACATTTTGGGTAAGTACAGTAAAATGGCGCATTCGTACGTTTGCATTTGGGCGTCATTTGCATACACGGCAAAAAGGGAACGAAACTATTAAAAGTCACCATGTAATAGTTAAGGAATGTCATTGTTACTTACGTTTTTTCATTAAGTTTTGTTTCAGTATTAAATACTTTTTAAACATTTCATAGCTTTTACTAGAGCAATTATCTACAATGCGATTACATTAAATAAAAATAATAATCACATACAAAATGAATTGTGATTATTAGATTAGTTGTACAATATGAATGATAAAATGACAGAAAGAACAAAAGGATTTTAAATGCGGAGGTAATTTAGAATGTAACTCGTATCTAAATCGAAAAACAAACGCTTTTAAACTTTCCCTAAAACAACAAGAGCAATAAAAACTCCATTAAACCCCCATTGAATCCCCTGTGGATGGAGATTTAGGTATTTATTCGGAGCTGCAAAACAGGAAATTTCAAATTAAACCTTTTGTTACATCAAGTTCGCATCTATAACGATTTCGAATCAATTGAAACGTAAAAAGAGCGCTGACATAATTAAACTAAGGTTCGGATCGCAATTTGTGTTATTCTTAACAAAGGAAACCGAATTTAACAAAGGATATAAAAAATGTAAAGTATTTGGATTACATTTCCTACCCAAAACCAAACTGGAAGCTTACAGTCATTAGATTCCTTCTCAAAACTTCTTCTTAATATTCATAAATTATGAACATTAATCATGCATTAATTTACAGAACATGGCAATTAAACCATGGGGTTTTTGTTTTGGAGAAATTCAGGTCACCTCTTTTTATATTTTTTTACACATTAAACTTCCTCAAGTGCCTTACTTAAGAACGTTTTATTCAACTCCCATAAAAAGCTATAACAATAAAAGGGTATGGCCCACAATCAGCATTACCATTAGACTCCTCCTTTGCTTTTTCAATTGCAACTAAAGTTTTAGCAGTTCTACACAGTTTGTGTAAATTCCAAAACAGAAAAAGAGGATTACAGCAAAAACGGAAGCTTGTTAGGGAAAATATACCCTTTAACGTACTAAGCCAAGCCCATTGTCATGAGGGCAAATGTAATTTGGCCAAACTTACTCAGTTAGGTAGTGACGTTTTTTCTGTTGATAAGAAAAGTTTATCATTTAATATAAAAGTTAAGTGAAACTGATTTTTTGGCTAGAAACATAACAATTACTATTAATTTATTTTCTGTCGCTGAGCTCCAAGCGAGAATTTTAAGTCCTAACAAGTTTTTCGCTATGAACAAATAAGAAAACTTCGACTGGTCCTTAGAACAGAAAAGTCGAGCTTTCTTTTTGCTTTCAATTCTATTATAGTGGAAAAGTTCCAGAACTAAATATCCCCAAACTGGATGTTTTCAACTTCAATTAAGTCAAGGATATGTTTTTGTGAAATCTTAATTTAGATTCCTGCATTTAAGAACTTCTATTTACTGTTCTCATTAAGCTCTTAAATTAGTTTTTGGAAATGAGGATAAAATCGAAAATGTTATTAGCAGCAAAATTACTTACATGCAACTGTTAAGGTAGCATTCCTACTTCTCACTTTTCCTAGGGCGTTGCTAGCCTCACACCAATAAACTCCGGCATCTGACTCCTTTCGGCTCTGAACAACTTTGAGAAAAAATAGATTTCCAGCTGGCAGAACCACTCGATGAGATCGGGAATCCTGTTTCGTTGTGCGTAGTGGCGAACCATCTTTGTACCTGAAAGATCAATTAATTAAATATGTTTGTTTGCATTTAGGTCAAAAGGCTCGTACAAATTAGGAAAAACTGAAAACTTCACTTTTAAGTTCCCGAACAGAAAACTATTTAAATCTGAACCTGCAACTAAAAATATAATATGGGCAACATGCAACTAATACTATAAAATTGTTGCTATAAAATACATGAGCAAACTATGTTACAGATTTTGGTAGTGTTGTTATCAGGCTATACCCGCCTGATGAGAGCTAATAGGTTTGAAACCGGTTTTGAGAGTGTATCAGATTAACATCTCGAAATATCTACTTGCTTATATCAGTAACCTTGGACAGCTCTGATATTGTTAAAGTTTATTTTGTTCGAATTTCGCTCACTGTCTCACTTCTCTGCCTGTGACAATTTTTTATTAAAGAAAACCGTTTATACTTTTTTGTGTTACTCGTGTGTTCATTACATTTTGATCTTTAGGTCTATTTATTTTTGCAATTGTAGTTGTGACTTGCTAAATGCTAATTCGGTTTTTAGTGTCCCTTATATTTGAAACTCACTAATGCCTATACAGCGTGATTCGGTGCATCACGCTAAATTAATTCCCATTGATGGCATACACTTTTTCTTCAATCACGTGGTTTCGGCTATAGAAAGAGTTGGAGTTAAATTTCCTTTCGGGTTTTTGCTCATCCACTTTGAACCACTCATCCGCTCTTCTTTAGGGGCGCAATAAATAATAATGACAATAAATAAAAGCGTCTTTAACGCGAACCATTCGGTGGCTTAGAAATTTCGATTTGTCCTGTATTCGTCTTTTTAATTTTTTCAAAATAACACGCTTCTTTCCTATTGATTTCTGAAATCTGGCGTCTCTAATTATTATTTGATATTCGACGTTGTTTTTCAGATATTCTATAAAATGTAGAGCATTTATTACCACCAAAAATACTTATTTTATAATAACATGGGAAATAACTTATTTTCCTGATAAATATTCAATTAAAATTATTTTACAAGCGATTCATGAACAATGATATTGTCGAATTGGTACTTTACAAATTAAAGGAAACTTGGTTATCAAACTAACTAAAATTGGAATTCGATTTTCAACTGTTAATATATTCTGGAAATTAAAAAATATATTTTCAAAGTAAGTGATTACATACAAACGTGGTCAAATCCTTTGAGGTATAACGCACCTCATTAGTTCTTTATTCAGGAATTATGAATACGTTGAACGGCGATTTTTTGAATAAAAATATTATTTATCGTGATTATATTTTCATGCATTTCTTAGCTTTAGGAATGTCGCTTTTATTGTGATGAGTAATGCGGGCAATGAGGCACCTTAACACCTAACGAGTGCCCTCCGCCAAGGAGTGCCCTCCGATCATTTCTGCTCGAACCGCAAACATTTAATTTGGAAAACCCATTACAAAAATTAATCGAAAAAAAATCGTTGCAAAAAGTAGGTAAGTAGTTAAATATGAAGTTAGCGAACACATGGGTAGGTAATTATTACCTTACGTTCAGACGCCAGCAAATAATTACGGGATGGGCCCAGCGTGAACCAGTAAATAATAACTAATATCGTGGCCGTTTGCATTCAAGATCTATAAAAATATAAAAATATCAATGGCGACAAAACATCGACTATTGCGTAAATAATCAATAAGAATTTAAAAGTGCATCTCACAGATCTCATTGTCAAGAACTAATGCAAGGACGTGCGACCATTCATTCAATAGCTAACTTTAGTGGTTGTTTATTGCAATTTCGTCTTTACCATGCTATGGAAGGTTCTGGTTCGCCTTGTGCTTGACAGTTAAGGGTAGCTGGTTCGTGTCTAGCTACAGTCGTATCAACAGGATGTTCTGTAATCCGTGGTGGCTGTTGAGTCGTGTGGTGATATCCTGAAACAAAAACCGCATTGAATTATTCCTCTCTCATCACTACTGCATAACTGAAACTGTTTTTACAACTTCTTTTTTCTGTTTTTTCCAAGTAAGCACCAGTAACTCCTTAAATGGAATAACCCTTCTTTAGAATCACCTTTCAAGTCAATCAACCTACCAAAGGATTGCGACTAATTTGAAGATAATAGTGACAAATCTGATAAAGAAATTTAATTAAACATAACACCATGAGAAATACGTGAATAAATGTCCAATTTTAATGTCAATTTTTTGTAAATAATGTTTGCAAAATACTTAATTTATCGCCTAAAATTCTACTGCATTTTAAGAAATATATTTTGGTTATTTTGTGCCACAAAACCACGAAATATACTATCCGAAACCAGATTGAAATAAACAGCAAGAGACGAAGCGTTAAAGACCTGCAGGATGACATTAACAAAAGTAAATGTTCCATCAAGTAATAAAATGAGTGTATCTCGGTCTAAAGCTGCGAATCTTCTGTTAATATCTCCAGGAACTATTCAACTGTTTAATTTTATGAAAAGAGTTTTAGTTCATAGTCTCTGGCAGCATGCCAGAAGTAAATGATAGGTTTAATAGCCATGTTTTGTATTCTTCATATTTAAAATACGAAACATGTTTATGTTCTGGCCTATTTACTAGCCATATTAAATCATGTAATTCATATATTTTTTAATTTCTTATCAATATATGTATTACTTAAAATAATAAAATATACATATCGAAAACCTCCTCAATATTCGAGCAATTCAAATATACTGCACATCATACTCACTATAGCAATAATGTGAGCTTAACAGCATATATTTTTCCATCAAATGGATCCATTAAAAACATGTTTGAAGAGCACCTACGTATGGTTCAGCAACAGAAATGGTTTTCGAAGTTCAAAGAAAAAGTGTCTAATAATAATATAGTCAAGTGAATTGAAGAAAAATGTATCCTCAAACAACAAATATGAACAAGTTCCGGTGAGACGTGGATGGAAAATTTCGATAATGGAGAATTTATGTTCCAGAAAGTAAAAGTAAAGGTTCAGGTTTCATTGGCTGTTGACACTTTACGCTCTACCAGATTGGGGCACAATAAAACTCCAGGGCAAAATAAAATAATATTTACAGTTCAACTGTGTTGTTCAGCTGGGGTTTTATGCTAGCTAATTTGCTTTGTAATTCAAGCAGGCAAGTTGTAAACTTGACACCAGGTACAAACGTGTGTTGTTGTTTCCAAACGGCAACCTTTTTCCTCATTACTTTCAGTTTCAGCTTTAAGCATAATCGAAAACGTAAAAGCTGTTTTTCTTCTTTCATTCGACTGCACAACGAGCTGCTGCCACTTGGAAGGTAACAAACGCCCCGGCGAAAATTAAAATGACTTTTCGCTCTGCAAAGAGACTTTTTAAAAGATTTAACGGCACTCTGACGAACAAAAGATTCTATTATCGACACACGAGAACTACTTTCCGTAATGGCTTCAAAAATTTCCCGTAAATCAGTCACTTACCAAATTACATTTCACTGCTTTAATGGTTATGGAAGGAAATTTATTTGTCGAGTACGTTTCGGATTTAAAGAGTCACATTAATTTTATTTTATTTCAGTGTTATCTGAATATTGGTTTTGCAGCGATGCATAATTAAATTATTACTAACTGCTGTTTCCCGTAAAGTAGTCAATATAAACCGTGTGGGTACGATACATCGGAGCTAATTTTAATTTTTCCTAAAAGAGTTTCTAACAAGTTTTTTTTTGTTGAGCTATGAGATAATGAATGAAGAATGAAATGAGACAATTACTGTTATTATTAAAAATAAAAAATACAAAGTAAAGAGTACCTTCAAACAAAAACGAAAATTTGCGGAGATTTAAATAAAAACTTTAATCAAATATATTAATAATTGCAATCTGTTGCCAAAATCGCTATTATATTTACGATAAAACAAAGCTGTACTCTGATACGTTGTAATTTCTTGAGACTTTCTGCACCAAGCACTCCAATAGATCGCAAATTCTCTGGAGACTAGAAACACTTTTTCTTCTCTTCAATTCAGCCCTGCCTTGTGTGATACATGTGAATAGAATAATCAGATAAAAACCGAATTTTAGGAAGAGAGAAAGAGAAACTTTTCAAATTGGTAACGGAACCAGTGAAAATTTGAAATTTGTTATGTTCAATCAGACGTATAATTAGTAATATTTTCAATTTCATTCGACATGGTACTAGTTTCCTGTTTGTTACCTGTTGGTACTAATTTTATGCAGTTCAGAAACAAACTAGTTATGTTAACAATTTAAAAAATAATTCAAGGGAACAAAATCAGCAATATAACAAATTAAGAGAGATAAAGAAAAGATATGATCTATAAGATTGCTATCTCAAAGTAAAAATGCCAGGTTTTCAGTGGCAAAAAATAAAAAACTCTTCTTGTGTTGGAACTTATTTGGCCTTAAAGTAGAGGGAAGTTATCAAAATCCCTGAAAAACTTGAAAACAAAGTTGCATTATTGATGTTTACTGGGAAATGGCGATGGAAAAATCTTGTTTTTGTTTCTAGAGACTGTTCACAAAACAACCTCAATATTTTCCTAAATAAATAATGAACGGAAACAAACTTTCTGGACAGTTCTGGATTGTTCAATAAATTTAAAATGAGGTTTGATCCGCAATTTCAAAGTTTGTGTAGAATGGTTTCAATTCATATTTTTGGTGATAAATATTTTACCACATATGTCTATAATCCAGCATAACTGGAACTGCATAGTATTGTAAAATAAGCATAAGTTTACTAAAGGAATTAGAAAGGAAGGAGAGAAAACAAGAAAATCAAAAATTTAAGTTATTTTGACGCGCTGTCTTCGTAAGTGTATGTCGAGGAAGAAAATGCTGGATGTTTCCCAAAAACTGATGCATAAAAGCTCTGAAAATCCTATACCTTAAATATATATACTTAGTACTTTTCAAATAAATGGTGGAATTTTTATTTTATTTTATTAAAAAGTGCTTGCACTATAATTTTCTCCAGTGAATGGGATATGGATATTTCAATATTTAGAGATAATCGTTTTAAAGTGTGTTCTCAAAGAGTGCCAGTACGTGGTACCAATTCCGAGAAGAAACTGCTGAATTTATTATTTCATATAAAATATTTATTCTAATTTCAGCATCCCAAAGACCAACATCCGTATGCCCTAACCTAATTAAAAATTGGAGTAAACCGCAGTTTTACAACCGTTGAACTCATAAATTAACTCGGCAGTAGCTATCGCACTTGAGAAAAATCGCCTGAAAAACGGTTTAATTAAAAATCATAAATGCACGGCATGATTCAAATTAATAATGTAATGAACCCTTGCACAGGTTAATTAATCCTATACCCCGGATATTTTGCACCTTTTCTCGCCGGTCTTTGTCGGAGGCGAAATGGAGCGGATTTAATTAATATTTGTGGAATGTACCCCTATTGTGACGCTTCCGAATTAGAAAACTTGCTGATAAATAAACTGCCATAAATAATTGTGTTATTGCGGTATAATACAACGCATAATGAAATTCCTTTTGATTGTTAGATATGCCATTGCTGTTTATTTGTGGTTTGTGTTCCAATTAAAATGTTGAAGTTCACTTTATTAACCGGAACATTTCATGTCAATAATATTTATAAATAACTCGAAGTTTATATTACATACTTGTGCAAATAATGGTGCAGATAAAAAAATCTAAAACTCGAAATGTTGAGGATATTTGTGCGAGTGAAATTTCGCTTCAAAGTTCAATTTAATTACTCAATAAATATTTTAATTGGAACATATTTATTTTAAAAACACAAAATGTCAGCGCTCGTGCGGGTTTGGCGAGTTCCTAAATGGCGGTCTTCAAATTTAAAATATATAAAAAAATTAACAATTCATTAAATTTAGACTCATGTGGAAGGTAGTATGGATGCTAGTACTATCAAGACAAAATTTCTTGATGTCGAACTTTTGAAGAAAATCTAAAGATCTACATTTTTACCCTTCTACATGCACTTGTGTGTGTGCATCACTCGTTGTGAAGCATTTGTCAATTTATTTTCAACAACAAATGGCTTATGTTTAGAATAGATACATAAAAATTATTCCTAAAATTGGCTGGTATTTCGTAGGTGCGCTAAAGCATAAATCCTTTCGCATGGACCCACCTAAAATCATAGCGGACTCAAATCTGTGTCTTTTTCAATTTTTTGGTTTCGCTTGATGAGAACTCTGTCTATTAATTTAAATACTGCACTTTATCTATGTTTATACCGTGCCAAGTTTGTAACATCCTGGAATTTTCAGCCCATCCACATTAAATGTGCAACCAATTATTTACTATTTCCATAATAAATAAAAATTTTATTGATTTTATCGAGCATCAAGTGTAGTAATTGTTGAGTGCTTTAAGCTTAGAATAACGCAGATGTTCCGGCTAATTTCTCGCCAAAAACAGATAATTAGATTAGAATAATTAATTCACATATTTAAATATAGCGGATACAACGCGTTATAATTCTAAACATACATTAAACATCAATGAATATCCGTGAATGTCTAAATTATCCGCTTCCTTTCAATGAGAAAATGAAACTTCGTGCTTTATACCGAGAACAAAGACTAACCAATTTAAAGAACAATCGCCTGAGATATAATTAAAGTTTCCAGTTAAACTTATCAGACATCTCTGTTCCTGTTACCCTTAATCTAAAACTTAAAATCAAATTATGCAGCGCACCCGAACATCTTGCATGCACCAATCAAGGGTTGAGGCCATTGATGACGTCGTTCGGGCCAAATTTCGTCCTTACATGTAAAGCGATGTAAGGGGAGTTGTAGTTAAGTGAAATTTCATATGCAGGAAAGGGTTAATAGGGAAATTTGTCGGGCTAAATTGTTTTCGGAAGTATTTTCAAATGTTTCGAGGATGGTCTGGGCAGGTAGTTTAGTGGTTGAGGGCTTT